AATATAGTTATATATAACAATAACAATACTCAAAGTGATTCTTTAATTATGACTCATGTTACATACTTAAAAATATAAAACATGTAATTTTTCATGTCAGACATTAATAGTATCCTACGTTTATAATTTTCCCGTTAAAACGTTGTTATCAACTTGTAATTTTTAATTGAAAACATATATGTTTTACCAACTTATAAACTAAAAATGATTTATCTATGAAAACTACTGGTCGATGACAACTTTTAAACTAGTATTTTAAAAGATATCAGTATTTTTATAACAAGACGGAAGAAGTAGTCCTTAGAGTAAAGTTATCGCTCTTATAACGTATTGATATATACTACATATATATATATTATAAATACTATATACTATATAATATTATAGTGTAATATAATGCAAGAATACTACTTCCAATTTTTCGTTAAATGATGATTTTTTCATAAAAATGTACTGATTAAATATCTACTTATTTTCATAAAGCATGGAACCAAGTTGATTGTTAGAAAAAATTATTTCTAACGATAGATTTTTATGGGTACTTTTAAAAACTAAACAGAAAGCTATTATTGCTCGTATTTTAGTACAACTAAATGAAGAATTGTCTAAATAAAACTATGACTGGTAAATAACTAATTTTGTATTATTACATTTGTTATAATATATAATATATATATTATAACCATATAATATACGAGTTATCATAATTTTTAGTTATAGGCGAGCGGATTCATAATGTTGAAGAATCTTTATCGGTGTATCGTGGTAAAAAATTAAACACTCCACCGCTCCTTGACTTTTCTAAATCATACTAATATCTCGCAAAGTAATATTACAGAAATTCTTATCGATCAATCAAAGTTTTATTTAGACTTTTCACTATTTATTAGCAAAAATAAATAGGTTCTCATTTAACTCTGAAAGTTACACCAAAAATATACCTTTTAGGAAGAATTATTTTTACAATAAACTAAATTCCTACAATGGTTTATACAAATAAGTAAACTTTAAATCAGTTTTTATGAAAATGTATTATTTATCAAAAATATAGGAATAGTATTCTTAATAAATCACACTGTATATCGTCGTTGCCACGTAAAAACCTCACACATACTACAACCTGATTTTTCACGAAACACAAAATACGTTTAAAAATCACATATTGTCAATGGTTAACGAAAATAAATTTAAAAACTGTAAAATCATATAACAAATTGTTTTTAAAAAACTTAATACGTATAGATTTATTGTATAAATTTTAAATATTTTGTGACAGGTTTTATTAGTTAAGATGTTTTGCTAAAATTACATAAGAGGTTTTTCAGTATTACATAGAAGGTTCTTAATAATATTAATATTAATACAATATTAAACACAATTATTATAAACGTTTAAAATTCTACTATGAACGAGATATCATAAAAAACTACAGCTACAGTTGTACACAATACCTCTTGAATAATTTTGTATTACATAGGATGTATTTTACAAACGATTCATATAGGAGATATAACTTTTATTTTTCATTAATTATTGAAGGTATCACAATGTATATATTATCATAATATTCTTATATTTTTTCTGAATTCAGAATTATATTTAAAAGGAAATGTCTAAGATAATTTTCTAATAATTTACCTCTGTAAAATATTTATAATAATTTACATTAAATTATAAAGTATATTATATTTAGTCTATTTATACTAATATTCAATCGTTAGGGAAAATAAGCATTTAAAAAAAAAACAATTATAACAAAGTAAATTAAAAATTTTTATTTTATTATTTACAATATAAACTTAAAGGAAACATGATTTTTTTGAGAGCACTTTGAAAAATTATTTATTTCAACTGAATAAAATTAAAATTGTTTGATCATTCAAAAAACTTTATTATGACGGGCCTTCTAAACTCTTGTTAAAAGTAATTTGTACAGTTAAAATAAATTAAATGTATAAAATAACCAAGCTACAACTTCTGTCTTAAAAAAAAGAACAAAAGCAAAAAAAATCAGAATTTAGTTTCAACTGGAAATGTAGTTCGTCATTTTGAGATTCCTGACGAAAGAACAAAAGTATTATTAAAAAACGTTTAAACAATTATCAAGTAACATCTTGAACTCAGCTCACAAAATGAATAATATACAGTTTCACTAAGAAATTTAAATAAAAACTGACATACGAATTTTTTTGGTGAATGTATTTTTAAAAATGAGTTCAAAAACTTACTTTTTATTATTTGAAATTTTCAAAAATTGCCACTATAAACTATTTTGATATTAATTCACTATTGTAAAATAAAATGAAGTATAATGAATTATTAAAATAAGAGTTTATACTATTTTCTCAAGAATTTTTAGATTTTTTTAAATTTATGTAAACGTATATAATTTTATATTAAATAATTTTAAAATCTGTACTTAATTTTTTTTTGTGAAGAATGAACAAAAAATTACCTTATGATAAATAAAAAATATTAAAATTAACAAATTATTTATATTTATACATATATTATATTGAATAATTACAACACACCCCACGCGATAATTATTTTTATAATATTATATTATTTTTATAAATTATCTATTGAAACTATTAATTAGTTTTTATTAAATAATATATTATTCAATCCAAAAGAGAAAGTATATTCTTTAGTATAGGGAAAATAATTAATTGATTAGATTAATAATTTGTATAAATAAAAATTGGTTAAAAATGAATTATTATTATTTATACTCTGAAAACAGTAAAATATAACTTAAATAGAAAAAATTTAATTTTTCAATTAAGTTTGCTATGAGTAAATTAATTTTGCGTTTACGTCTGAATTTATCTTGTATAATTGCATATTAAGATTAATTAAGTTTACATATTGTTTCATCTAATATATATAACAGAAAATCTAACTTCGAACGTAACAAGTATGAATCGTTCAAACTAAACAAACCAAAAAATACATCTGGTGGACAGCTTGTAGTAAAACCAAGCTCTATTTATTCAAAAAGCAAAGAAAAAGCAAGCGTTGAGTATAAAACCACTGCATTAAACTCACTAACAAATAAATGAGTGGCTGGGCAAAATTCAGTTAAATCGAATACAGATCATTCTAATGGAAAAAGAAACATTAGTGATGATGACAATGAATATCAAAGTGCTAAAAAAAACACGATAATTATAAATATCAATTTGTTAAATTATTTAGTTTTACAAAAAAAAAGAAAATTAAAAGTCAGCCAAAATTTTAATTTTAATTTTCAGCCAAATTAATTTTAATATTCATACTTCTTCTTTTTCCTTGTCTTCGTCCCAACTACTTAGGGTCGGCCATCCTTATCCTAAACTTCCACTTGACGTGATCATTTTTATAATCTACACACACATTAGCAGTTCTCATATGGTATTCAATAACATGCCTTCATCATTTTTTTAGTCTTCTTCTACCTCTTCTTCCTTCAACATTCATTTCTATGTTGATTATTATGTGATCCATTTCAAGATACTTTTTTATAAAGTTGACATAATTAATCGTCAATGACTCATCACGTTGTAAGAAACGCTCGACACTTAAAAATTGTGAAGTAGCTATTGTTAATGAGTTCTTAGATTTTCAAACAGTTTTTAAGTCATCCAAATGAATTAATCTATTGAATATATCTATACCATTTAAATTCATGACATCTTTGTTTAATTGAAAATTTTATTTATTAAAGATAGAAAATGATATTAGTTACAACTATTAGAATGTACAGGGTTTTAAAAAAAATATAGAAACAGTTCAATTGTCAATTACAGTCAACTAAACAGTAATACATCTAATGGAATAATTTAGACTGATGAACATCAAAGTAATTTAAAATAAAAGCTCAAAACATAGTTAGCTCTTCATCACTGTCAGAGTCTTGTACATAACGCTGATATGAATATCTCTCTTCACATTTTTTCTCGAACGCGCAGTAAACCAAAGTTGGCAAAACAAAAAAAAAAGCTAAAAAAAACTTTTCGTAAAGTTTTTTTTATAAATTACAAATGAGATGTATTACATATCTCACTGGTACAACTTTCAAAACCCTTTTATTTTAGTGACAGGATTACGTCTGGGTCAATTATAAAGTTACTTTGAGACATAGTTTACATAATAAATTTATTATGACGATGATTACACTTATTCTAAATTATTCAACTTATTTTAAAAAATTCAAATAAAAGTTTTGTCATTAAAAATGCACTATATTTTTAATTCCGTTTAAGTATAGTAGAAACCTTATCCTCATACAAAATTTACTAAAGTTTGAAATACATAATTAAACAATCAATTAAACAGTACAGTGTTCAATAATTGATTATGATTTAATCTATAGTGTACGATAGTTTATATTGATTACTAATTATATTATTTGTGTTTTGGTAAAAATTTGTTAAGATATTATAATTTACAACTAAAACAGTATGTTTTTGTTTCTTTAAAAAATGATTTCTATAATATAATCTATAATTATATTTATATATATTTTTTACATATAATTTATGTTAATTATGTCATTCGACGCAAAAAAATGCTTATATTACATTGATCTAACAACAATACGTCATCTTTACTCACGTATATTCAATTTAGCTTATATTTAATTAAACTTTGAAGTATGTCAACAGATGATGAGGAGGTAGTTAAACCAAATAGACATTAATTCAATACAATATCAATGCATCTATTGTTATGAATAATACTTTAGCATTAAACTAGATTACAGATTAGTTATACTTATTGCTCATCTATTATTTATTAAACCTCCATTCCTGTAATAAAATCTAATTAATGATTTGGTTTACTCAATGAATTTTAAATAAAACCGTTACTTGTTCTATAACCATAATGAAAATTAATAGTTTTGTATTCTTTAAATTATATTTATTTATTGATTTTTTTTTTCTAATTGATTGACCTTTTACCAAATTTAAAAGAATAGTTGTTATGTGTATAATTTACACAGAGTGATAAATGAAAGCAAAATAAATTATATGAACATATGATACATATTTTGTAATAATATTTAACATAAAGCCTTGAAACAATAATTTTGAAGCATTTCATTTCTAATCTAAACAATAACGCATGGTGCATAGTAATTATTGTTTTAAAACCCGACCATTACCTCTTGTGTTATTCGTTCGAAATTAATTGTTTGCAGTTATACGTTTACAATCCGTCAACCTTACGATCCCAAGAATTGGAATTGTCTTAAGATACGCCTAAAAGTGTGATGTGAATGTCTAAGGCGCAGGGCTAATGTTAAAAAACAAAGTACCTGTGTAAGTTAAATGTCTATGGTGTAATCGCCCCGAACGAGGATAAGTGTAGGTGGATAATTTTTGATAGCCTCGAGACTATAATGCAGCTCAGGAGGGCCACTCGACTGGAAAAACTCATTGGATTTGGTTTTATTTCGTTATTTGTTTCGCTCGTAAACCTAAATGCGTTTAGATTATATTATGGAGGTACATTTTTAAAACGATATCCATACTGAACAAGTATCTCGATAATGACTTCTATTAAAGCTTTTATCACGATTTTCTTCCGTTTAATTTTTTTGAATGATTACTGCTGAATCCGCTGCAAGGTCGCACTGTAACATTATAATAACAATCGATGTAATAACGTAGAAAATGAAAATCCATCCTTCGAATACGATGACTTTTTACCTTAACGGTTTTTCTTGACTCCAATTTACATACTCGACAGTTGGCATTGAGTCTAGTAAATAAACACCCGCATGAATTATTGCTTGCCCATTAGCCAGTTATTATTATTTTTATTATATTGACCTGCCCGTAATCGAATATAGTTTGACATCCACTCAAAATAATAGCACAAATGGTGTTATTATCATTAACAACACGCGTATTGAAAACGTGCATTTAGTCAGCACGAGGGTTGTTCAAATTAAAATTCGTCCAACAATAATGCAATGAAAAAAAAAAAAAGATTCATTGTTATATAATAAAAAATGTTTTAAGTGTGCAAATATGCGATACATTTATCGATGCCGCCGATTATCCGGTCGAGTGCATTATTACTCATACAAATCGTATTTGCCCATAACACTATACAATATGACTAATGCAATTTCAATTATCCCACGGCAATAGAACTAGTTCGAATTGTTGCACTCCAATAGTATTTACACGGTTGTTTACGTTCCCATAAATCTATTGGAAAATCGTGTTTGCAGTCGTTCCGATGAAATATTTGGATACAATACCTCAATTGCTTCAGCGGAATCGCCATAAATTTTAATACGAATAAGATAGAATTTTTTTGCTTTCGACATAAAACGTTTATCTTGTAGCCACGACTTCTTAATAATACTTGTATAAGACGGAAGAATTGTGTACAATACAAATGATTTATTATAAACTATTTTTTAAATATAATTAAATATGATAGATGAACTAATGTATACATAATATGTAAATAATTTTAAAATATTCTCTATAATTGACTAACACAAATTATTTGTGTTTATTTATCAATCAGTAATACAATTGAAAAAAGTGTTTTTGTTAAAGAAAATAGCTAAAAATAGTAATTTTCAAATTTTGACCAAATTTAAAATGAAAATAAAAATTATTTTTCTCAATAAAATACTTTTAACGTATTCCAAATCAGTAAAAACTACTCACAAAAAAATATAACAAAGTATTCAATAGATCTAAAGTGATTAAAACATCGTGGACCACTCTGAATACCTACATGAAAAATTTTTTTAAAAATTACAATACATTTTTCAGTGAACCATTATATATACAATATACTTGCAAGTTCAATTAACTATTTAATCTTTAGTGTTTGTTAAACTTTATTTTTAACTGTTTCAAAAATGTTATTATTGATTCATTTTATATTATTACTCTGGTAAAATGTTCAAAAATATTTAAAATTAAATATTAAAAGTTAAACATTTCATGAAACATTACAATTTAAATATATCAATTTTCTTAACAAAAAAAATGTTTACCCATATATTTTCTATTACAAATGCTGCGTGGGAGTATTGAAATTAGATCGCATTATTACTTAAATAATAGTTTGACAAATATTTCTAGACACATAAAAATAAATCCAAAAACTATTACGCAGGCGTATTTTGTTTTTCCAATAGTAAACTCGTGACAGCTCAATAAACTATAAGTATATTTAAAAAAAACAAAGCATCTCCATTATCAAAATGAAAACTTTGCGTTGAATAGAAATGCGTGTTTCAATGAATTACTTTTTATAAAATTCAATGTTTTTTTAGCACAAATATATTTGTTCATGGTGAACTGAAAAAACTTTGTCAGTAGTTTTACAATTATGTCATCTAACAATCAGTATTGATAAAAGCTTTTCATAATATGTGCGCAGTATTAAGCATAGGGCAATTTTATTCCACCAACTTGAAAAAAGTCTAACAAAGAAAACTATAATAATAAAATAATGCCCGCAAAACCTTCTTTTTAAATTAGCATTGCTACAATGTTCTTTTAAAATCAAACGAATAAAACTTTATGATTTTTCAAAATCTTTTTTTCAGACTAATTTAAATTTTATTTGTAAAAACAGCATCGTTTTAATAATAAAAATGAAATATAGTTGAAGTTAAAAAAAAATGGATTGTCCAAAACAAAAATCACTTTACAATACTTGCGCACTGATAATAAATTGTAAATTTTCCTTAAAATAAATTAAACAAACGATAAGTATAATAATTACTAAAAATAAATTAATACAGTCACACAAATATTAAAAATTAGTAAGATAAAAAATGTTTGAAATCGATACTTATTATAATTGAAACTATAAAATATATTGAATGGCAATATTCTGAACATCATATATATATATATATTTTTTTTTTTTGTGAGAAATTGAAAATTAATTTTATTTGCAACCGTTCAATTTTAAGTATAATTTCGTTAACAACTTATAATGACTGAATAATTTGATTTTTTTAACATATTTGCACATAAAAATCTTTTGAAAGGATATTGTAAATAGCTGCAAAAAAACAGATTTCATTGACAAACCAAAAAAAGTATAATTGAAATATTTGAGAAAAGAACTAGTATAATAAAATATTTTCACAGGAAATGTATTTACTGTGATAAAATCAAAATATGTTTTTATTTACAAGTGTTTTTCACTATAACAATCAGTTTTCTAATATATAAGAAGTCTAAAACGGAAGTTAATTTCAAAATAAATGTTGATCGATGAAAAGAAATAAACGAACATACAGGAAATTAAAACATAAAAATATAATACAAACATTTTACTTTAAAATTATTCATTTATTGACTACCGGTCGTTTTGTGTAACTGAATGTGCTTTTTGTGGAGGTATTTGAAGCTCGTTGGCTTATTTATTATTCGGTAACACGCCTCTTCAAGTCTAAACACAAATGTACATAGGCATAATCTTAAGAGTGGTCAACTGCCCCTCCAGATATTTGATCGAGGGGCAATAGTATAATTTTGCTTCCCTTTATTAAGTTATAATTAAATTTCATACTTTACCATACAAAGCAACAACACATTGTAAGATAACTAATAATAGATTTATCGTTTTGATAGCGCTAGTTTATTATTTATTAATAAAGTCATTACAAATCGAGAGCCCGTATCGTAATACAAGGATTTGCTGAGCGATGGTCAGTGATAGAGAGGTGTTACCACAATGGTTTTAAACAAAAGGGTCACTTTCATTGTAAACAACAACATTCAACCATGTTTGTTTTTTTGTGAAATGTATTATTATCTTAGGTTATATACGAGCCAGCAATATTATCATGTTAATTTTTACTAGTGTCATTGCAATATGTTGTGGGCATAATATTTTTTCTTTATTGCCTTCATCGTACTACCACCACCATAGTCCACGATAATAGAATTAATTATCGACTACAATCAAATTATATATTGATATACATAGCATAATTACGTCTAAGAATAATTCAATAAACCCCCCCAATAATTGACTACAAGTTACGCCATTGAAAATGTTAATGGTACGAATTTAGTTATAAAAATATAATTTTCATTTGAACAATTTTCCATCTCTTTGTAGACCTATTGTTTATGCGAAATTTGATTTTAAGAGTGTTTTGTTGCATTGCAATGGATTTCATTCAGTTAAGCTTTAGATTTTATGGAACAATTGAAGAGCTCGCTCGTAAAACAACTACAGTACAATTCAAGTCATAAATAAAACATTGTTTTGCACATGGCGTGAAATACTATAAATATTGTAGCTTGTTGAAAGCGCGAGTATTACACCATCAATATATATTTAACAGTTTGGGAATAACTCATCAGCTGTTTTGTATATTTCAATTCAAATACATGATATCGTTTCATTTGTTGACATTTCATATTTGATAACAATAACAAAAAATCATATTGAACGTCATTTTCAAGTACTTGACTTAATTAAATTAATTTAACTGTCATATTTCTATGTATATTTTTTTTTTTTTGTAATATAATATTTATGCATAAAAATATTTTACTTATATAGGCTTTGAATACAACAGTTGTCGGATAAGTTACCACATGTATTGACATGCGGTAACTTAATTTCAGCAACGGCAAACGACTCCTCGACAGACGGCAAATGGGAAGTACTTGTTACTATCTTAAGTTATACCAGTCCAGTCTTCAGAGTTAGCTAATGTTGACCAAGCAAACGGTTGAAAAAAAACGTTTAATTAATGTTAAATCATCAAAAACGACGAAAATGTACAAAATTAACAAGAATTACGAAATGTTCAAACCAAAATTATTGTATTTATTTATTTGACTTATGAAACAAAAAACAAGAAAATCATCATTTTTAAGGCATAAGAGATTGTGATGTGTTTTTAAGTTTCTATTATTTAAAAATAATATAATGTATTCAATAGCTTAGACTATTTAAATACTTTTACTGTAAGTATTAAGAAACATGTTGACAAAATTTTATGTCCAAATACTAAAACCCGTTTATAATTTAAATGAAAATATGTGTCTGTCATTTATATTAGTCATGGGGTACTTGACAGTACTAATTTGAAATCATTTGTCAAAATTGAAATTGCATAAATCAGAAGTAGAGCAAAGTTATTAAATGGTTATAACGATGCAATTAAAAACATATTACAAGTTTTCAAGGTGCTTATATGACCTGATCCTTTAAAGTTTCAATTTATGGTACAATTTTTTAATCAATTTATGTTAATGCTGTATTATGTATGCATAATATATTACTACCAGTTTCCACTACTATATTGAAAAGTTTCACTCTTCGATTTGTTTCTTTTTATTTTTATTATTTCGATTTTGCCTAACCTTTTATAAAAATTTCTTGAAGTCGTACCAAATGTTGTGGACACGGTAAGGAAAAATATCGAATGCTAAAAATTCTAAACATCTAAATGCCAAGTAAGGACGGTAACAAAAATTATTCTTACGTGCATTGGACAATTTATTACTTTTACCAACAATAACATAAGTTATCGCTCTAAGTACCGTTTGAATCGCGATGCATATATTCAATTTGAATAGATAAAACAGACGGCCGAACATGGCAAAAAACAGTCGGAATTAGCTACGTTTACATAATATTAGACGGACATTTATAGAATAATAATATGTGGTTCTTTTTTATTCAAACCTGTTTAAATAATATCTGCTAGCATAATCTATAGTAATTAGTATGTTACAAGCAAATTATAAATCAATCAACTACTGATAAACATCTTATTATTTTTTAATTTATCAGTTACTAGCAGGTTAAATTCAGTAGCGTACTAAGAAATTCTGTATGAGAGAATTTTATGTAAAATGTTGCCAACAGCTGAATATATGTTAGAAAATCTTTTTAATTTTGTGATCATCCCAAAAATTGTCACAATGAAAAAAAAATGATACTCTAAAGAGTGCATATCTTCTATCCTACTCCACGTAAAAAGTTTTGACACGAAGCATTTTTGAATATTTCTTCAACTGGCTCGACATAATTTCCAGTAGGATTTATACAATGATATGATAACGAAGTGTCGGTAACTGCTGTGTATTACAAGAGGTGCTCGTAATGAGTGTATTGTGTGCACTGAACACACACGATATAATAAAAAGTAATAACCGTATTCAGCTCGTGTAGCAATACCCATCGTTGGTACGATGGGACGACTTGGGGATAACGACG